TATTTATGGCAAATACGTTTTCTAAGAAACATAACAGCAGGTTATACTATACACATGGGTTTCACCTGATGGTATGCATAGGAATCAAATTGATTACATCTATGGAAAGAACTGCTGGAGAAGCTCAATATCAGCTGTGAAAACTAGGCCAGGAGCTGACTGTACTCATATGCAAGTTCAAGCTGAAGCTAAGGAAAATTAAACCGAATCCACAGGAACCAAAATATGACCTTGAGTCTATCCCACCTGAACTTCAGAACCATCGCAGGAACAGGTTTGAGGCCTTGAACACTAATTAGTGAAGACTAGATGAGTTGTGGGAGGATATCAAGAGTATCATCCAGGAAGGGTGCAAAAAGTCATTACAAAGACAGAGAGGGTGGGGGGAAGACCAAAATGGATGTCAGAAGAAACTCTGATTATTGCACCGGAGTGCAGAGAAGTCAAAGCAGAAGGAAGAATTCAAGATACTAAAGAGCTGAACAGAAGATTCCAAAAGGCAGTTCGGGAAGACAAAGTAAAATGTTACAATGAAATGTGTGTGCAAGGAGCTGGAGTCAGAAAATCAAAAGGGCCACACTCGCTCAGGATTTCTTAAGCTCAAGAAATTGAAAAACAAAGTCAAACCTCGAGTAGCTATAATCAAGCATGCTTTAGGCAAAATATTAAATGATCCAGGAAATATTAAAAGAAGATGGAAAGAATATACTGAGTCACTGTAACAAAAGGAATTGGCAGACACAGAAGAATTTAATGAAACAACATAGGAGCAAGAGCCTATGGTGATGAAGGAAGAATTTCAACCTGCTTTCGAGGAAATAGCAAAAAAATAAGGCCCCAGGAATAGAGGGTATACCGAGTGACGTATTTTAACTAACAGATGCTGCCCTGGATGTGCTCACCAAGTTGTGCCAAGAAATCTGGAGAACAACTCTTGGCCAACTGACTGGAAGAGATCTATATTTGTTCCCATTCCAAAGAAGGGTGATCCAACAGAGCGTGGAAACTATAGAACAATATCATTTATTTCATATTCAAGCAAGATTCTACTGAAGATTATCTGAAAATGATTGGAACAGTACACCAGCAGAGAAATTCCAGAAGTCCAGGCTAGATTTAGAAGGGGTTGTGGTACTAAGGATATTGTAGCTAATGTTAGATGTATCTTAGCTGAAAGCAGGGAATACCAGAGGACTATCAGTGTTTAATTGATTATGCAAAGGCATTTGACTGTGTGGATCATAACAAACTGTGGCTGACTCTGAGAAGAATGGGAATCCCAGAACACTTGATTGTGCTAATGTGAAACCTACACTTGGACCAGGAGGTCGTCATCAGAACAGAGCAAGGAAACACTGCATGGTTCAAAATTGGGAAGGGTGTATATCAGGAATGTGTCCTATCTCCACACCTTTTCAACTTGTGTGCAGAACAGATTTTCTGGGAGGCTGGGCTCTATGAGGAGAAGTGTGGCATCAGAATTGGTGGAAGATCTATCAACAATCTGTGTTATGCAGATGACACAACCTTGCTTGCTGAACTGAGGAGAACCTGAAGTGCTTGCTGCAGAGAATCAAGGACTGCAACCTTCACTAAGTATTGAAGCTCAACATCGAGAAGCTCACAACTGGACAAATTGGCAGCATCAGGATGTATGGTGAAGAGATTGGGATTGTTCACAGCTTTAATTTGCTTGACTCCACAGTCAACACTCTTGGCACCAACAGCCAGGAAATTAAAAGACATATTGCAATGGGAAAGTCTACTGTTAAGGACCTCTCCAAAGTACTGAAGAGCAATGGACAACTGAAGTTGTCACTGAAGAGTGACAACTCAGGAGACCTGAGTGCACCTGATACAAGCCATGGTCTTTGCAATCACTTGCTATGCATCAGAGAGTTGGGCAATGACTAGGAAGGATAGAAGGAGAACTGATGCCTTTGAGCTGTGGTGCTGGAGAAGAGTATTGAATGTACCATGGACTGCTAAGAAAACAAACAGGTTCATCCTGGAGAGGGTTAAAGCAGACTGCTCCTTGGAGGCAAGGATTCTGAAGCTTTATCTGACATATTTTGGACATGTGGCAAGGAGTGACCCATCCTTGGAAAGGGACATCATGCTTGGGAGGGTGAAGGGACAGCGCAGGAGGGGAAGATTCTCTATGAGATGGATTGATTCAGTGAGTGGGGTAATCGGGGTGGGTGTGTTGGAGACAGTGAGATTGGCAAAGGACAGAGCAGGGTTTAGGGCTGTTATACATAGGGTCACTATGAGTTGCAAGTGATTTGACAGAACATAAAAAAACAACCCAAGAGCCATTGTATTTGTTAGTACTCCTATAATAGAAATACCACAAATAAACAATTTTACAAATTTATTTTTTTGCCTTTCTGAAGGCTAGAAAACTGAATTCAGGACTCTCGATAGGAGAAGCTTTTCTCCTTGTCTGTCCTCTCTGGGAAAAGTATTATTTCATTTTCTGTATACATGGCAGCCTAGTGGCAAGAAGCTGTGCTGCAACCTTGAAAGCATGCAATTTGAGGCTACCAGGTATTCCATGGGAGAAGGATGGGCATTTTCCCCATGTGATTGACTGCCTCTGAAAACCCTCTGGAGAGTTAGCTATGGGTCGGTTCTGACTCTATGGTACACAACAACAACACCTTTTAATTCTTTGAAAATCTACTCATATCATATGTATCCCCTTTCCACTGGTGTATGCTTTTCTATGCCTGATCTTCTCTTTTTATAAATAGGTTTAAAACAGAGGATGAGCAGAAAAGGACAGCCTTTGTTGAGAAGGATTGACACAGAGACTGTCACAGTGGGCTCCAGCATAGCAGAGATCATGACAGTGACACTGAATCTATTTAGATCTGTTGTTATAGGGTTTCTAGGAGTCTATAGTCTACTTGATAACCCCCAACAAAAACAGACAGCATAGTTCATAGGGAGCCATGCTGCTTATCTATCCAAAATCTGAAGCTCCCTGATGGTTTGAATCTCCCATCCACTCCAAGGGAGAAAGATGGACAATATCCTCTCGTATGGTTTACAAACTCTGAAATCCAATGGATGCTCAGCCATAAGTCAGTTACAACAAGATGGCAATGAGTGAGTGAGTGAAATGGATATAGAGTCATTAACAATAACAGTAAAGACCCTTATTTTCAAAGGAATTACATTCACAGATACAGAGAATGACCATACACATTTTAGGGGGACATAGTTAAACCCATCACAGTTATATTTTGGGGTAAGAAATTTGGTTGATATGAAACCCACCTCAAAAGATCTCAAGGATCTAGAAGGGATCACAAGATGACAAAGGCAATTCTGGGTTGATGTTCTGATGTTGTGGATGCTCAGGAAGACAGCTGGTTTAATACATTGAGACTTGAAGCCCTTGTGATTGAAAACATTAGAGCTAGGAATCATTCTTTGACAGAAAGATGTGACACAGACAGAAATGACCTAAGAACCAAAGGTGGGTCCACACTGACTCCTAAGAGATGCGCACGTTGAGTAGTCGTGTTGCAGCAGACAGATCTGCATGGGATTGAACGAGGCCCTGATTCAACAGGTACACTGTGCTAATGACTAAGGCAATCATAGCCTGGAACCTCAGTGCTTTCTCGACAACCAGTGGGACAAAAAGGACTGGCAGGCTCCTTTGCATTGAGTGAGCTTCTGGAAAGCTTGGACAGAAAGAGTTGCTGGATTCCTCCAAGAAATGGCAAGTGAGATTAAGTGGAAATAACTGAAGAAATAAAGGAGAGTTTGAAATCTAGGCTGGTTCATAGATTACTTGTAACAATCATCAAAGGTGGAGACAAATAATTAAATCTGAGGGCTGTGGTGACAGTGGTATTTACAATAGCAACATGTGATGTTCAGAGTCAGTGAATAGGTAAATTATATTACATTCATGTGATTATAGATTATGTAGTCATTAAAATTAAATTTCCTCTTATGGGAAGAAGGATCTGGGGAAATTAGGATAAAGAAGATACTAAGATAGTGCATACAACTTTTGTAAACTATGTTCATAAATGTCTAACTTTAGTTACTGTAAGTGGGGAGGATACAGGTTATATTAGCTGTATTTGTTACAATTTTTTGTTCATCCAAAGAGTATAGGTTTTACCTTTCAAATAGTAAAAAAATCATGTTTTTAAAACTCCTAAAATACAAGGTAAGGCAATAATCAGCCATCTATTTTCTTTATTCTTTCATTGCCTTCGATCTAGGACCAGTGCCAGTCATAAGGACATCACTCTACACATTTGAAGGGTAAATAGATGTGCATTTAGACCTGGTTCTCTCATAATATGTGGAAAGCCTTGTGGAGAGGAGGGAAATGGAAGGCAAACAGCTATAGCACTATATGCAATCAACCCAAAGAAAACTAGAACTACAAACTCATGAAAGACAGAGGTTTCACAAAGGAGAGACAAGCTTTGACTTGGCTCTGAAAGTATGAAGTAAGGTGGTAGAAAGGGGGTTGGTAGCCTGAGAAAAAGCAGTAGCAATTGGTATAGACAGAGAGAATAGCAAAAATGTATTTCTTTCCATGATATTTGACCTCCACAGGAACTAAAGCCCAAAGAAAGTCATAATAATAACTTGATAATTTCCTTAAACTATTAGTGCTGGGTCCACTCAAGATATTCCAATTAATTTGATTATTGCTAAGAACTAGACAGCAGGGTGTTATAAAACTTTGTAATCGATACTTAATGTTCAAAAATATTGTAGCGTGTGTCTTCATAAACAGCCCACCTGAAAAGGAAAATTTGAGATGTAAAGTAATTCAAAGGCTAGTGATAAAAAAGAAGTCTCTACTTGATATAAACAACAGGATTACAGATAAGTCTCAAAATTCTAATAAACAAATAGTGTTTATGAACCATCACAGTATATTTGTTTCCAGATTGATTTTGACAACCCCACTGTGAGGAAGAAGTTTCTTGAGAATGACATTCAGTTTGGTGTTTTCATCAGGTAGAAAGCTTCTTCCTGACAATCAACTTTCTTAGGGCTCCTTTTAAGTCCTTGTTCCTGAGGCTGTAGATAAAAGGGTTCAGCATGGGGGTCACAACTGTGTACAGCACAGTGGCTGGAGTGTCTGTTTCAGCTGAGTGGGAGGATGAAGGATTGAAATATACAGCAATAATGGTGCCATAGAAGAAGGAAACCACAACCAGGTGGGAACTACAGGTAGAAAAGGTTTTCCACTTTCCCTTTGTGGATGGAATTTGCAGGACTGCACAGGCAATAAGGATGTATGAGATGAGGATGCAAATAAATGGAGGAATCATTAACAGCCCTGCTACAATAAGGATCATCAAGTCATTGAGGTGTGTGTCTGAGCAGGAAAGTTTCAGGAGAGGAACTACATCACAGAAGTAATGGTGGATCTTATTATCTGCACAGAAGGAGAGTCGAGCCATTAGTAGGGTATGCAACAGAGCATTCAGATTGGCAGTGATCCATGACCCAGCCACCAACAGAGCAGAGAGCTGATGAGTCATCTTTGTTGTGTAGTGTAAGGGATAGCATACAGCAACAAAACGGTCATAAGACATCACAGCCAGGAGGAAATTGTCCATGTAGGCAAACACAATGAGAAAATACAGTTGCATGAAACACCCACAGAAAGATATGGACTCACTCCCAAATAGGTGATTTGTCAACATCTTGGGGACAGTGGTGGAAGAGAAGCAGATGTCCACAAAGGACAGGTTGCTGAGGAAGAAGTACATGGGAGTGTGCAGGCGGGAGTCTGTGCTGATGGCCAGGATGATGAGCAGGTTTCCAGGGACAGTGGCCAGGTACATGCTCATGAAGAGTACAAAGAGGAGCTGCTGCTGCTGGGGCTGCCTGGAGAGTCCCAGGAGGATGAACTCAGAGACACTCGACTGATTCGCTCTATTCATGGGTATGGGAACAATTTAAGATAGAACAAATTCAGAAAAGCAGACACAGAAGGTTAAAGTATGAAAAGCCAAGCTCAAGGCTGAGGTATGTTAGCATTAACTTATTGTTAATAGTGTTGCTGAAATAGAATCGGAACATTTTAGCTGTATGCTAATATCCAAGACACAATCTTGATGTTATTCTTACCACAATCACTGGCAGTTTTGCATATGTAATATAGAAAAAGACACAGACACTGCCCAACTCTATTCCCTATTTATATTTCTCAAATTTCAATCCCACAGTCTTAGTCATACCTAAAGGGAAACTGCTGATTACACCTTGACACTTTAAGTTCTGTCTGATATATGCAGAACTCCTACTACTTTTCCTGTATCTGGAAGAACTTTAGGTCTTAATGAACAAAATTTGGTGTGAGTTTTGCTGTAACATTACCTGGGGGAGGCTGTTTCTGTGTCTATCATATGTTCTTCCTTTCTGTATAACTTAACAATGCTCCTCTTTATTGTAGTGATTGGAAATTCTTGAGAATAGAGGCAATTACAGAACAGAAGTAACTCATGTTCAAAGTCCTTTATGCAGGAAGGATGTTTTGGAGAATTCCAGAGCAGTTATTTACAGAAATCTGCATGGCCACAGGGACTAGACTCCCTGAGAGCCTCATTAGCAATAAGAAGAGAATAATTGTCCCACCTACATTTTGGCCTCTTTGGATCAGACAGTGATGATAAAGATTTAGATATCACTTATGGGTAAAAACTTGAAAATATTGGGCAGGAATCCATAATGTTGCAAACAAATCTCAGAATAACTTCTCTAGAAGCAGCTTTTCTGTTTCTGTGCCCAAACATGTAAAAAACCTATTCATGAAATAATTTTTCTTCTCTCTTCCTATGTTCAGTTCAGGGACTCCTGTGCATTTTATGTAATCCTTGCATTATGTGTGGTCATCTTTAGAGCTGAATGATGATAAATATAACATTACAAATTTGGACTTAACCCATAGAAGTATTAGGCTTAAGAGATGGACCGATGGGGGAGTAGGGGTGGCATTGTCTCAAGGAGAGTCTATCATACTGTGATTAAGAACTCTAGATGCTTATAGGGATTTATTTCCAACCAATAATGTTTAGTCTTTCTCAGAGTTGAATCCCTAATGTACATAGTCACAGAGATCAACAATCATGCTTATCCACTACCCTTTTGCCATACCTGATTAAACCAGGGTGTTTTGAGGAGAGACCGGCCCCTGGAGAGGAACATCATGCTTGGGAGGGTGGAGGGACAGCTCAGGAGAGGAAGGCCCTCTATGAGGTGGATTGATTCAGTGATTGGGATAATTGGGATGGGAGTGTCGGAGACAGTGCGAATGGCACAGGACAGAACGGAGTTTAGGGCTGTTGTACATAGGGTCGCTATGAGTCGCAGGCGACTCGATGGCACATAACAACAACAACAACAACAACAATTTGAAACTGCAACTGGGACAACTATGGTGCAACTTAACAGTAATATGTAAATCTAAAATTTCTCTGTCTCACTGACTGCACACATACTGAGTACAAAGGAACGCAGAGAAGGCTTAAAGAAACAAACAGAGATAAGTTAATGTTCATTAAAGAAACTGTTCCAATTGACTAGGATTGGGTTTTAGTTCTTTTCTAATGATTGACTACATTGCCCCATGTTTCACCAAGGGCTCCTAGGTGCAAACAAACTGTGAGCTTTGAATTGTGCTATTACTGAAGAATGCTGAACATCCCATGGACTGTCAAAAAAAACCAAACAAATATGTCTTAGAGAATGTACAGACATAGTGATCCATGGAGGCTAAGATGATAAAGCTTCTTTTCACATATTTTGAGCATGTTGCTAGGAGAGAATATTCCTTAGAGAGGGATAGCATGCTTGGGTATGTGGGAGGATGGCAAAATAGAGGAACACCTTCAACCAGATGGATTGACATAGTGATTGTAGCAATGGTCTCAAGTGAGTCAGAGATTGTGAAGCTGACACAGGAGAGGACAGGATTCAGATCTGCTGCTCACTATGAGTGGCTCTCTACTTGATGGTACCTAATAACAAAAACATATCCCTATTCTACCTGGAGTTGGTTTTTGTGTTTAGTTTGAGGTGTGGACCTTTTTAAATTTTTCTGAAGATGGATGTCTAGTTTTGCCAGCATCACTCAATTAAGAGCCCATTGTTACCCCATTATTTGATTTCATCTTTTTGTCAAAGATCAGTTTACCATATTTGAGTTATTTGCATCTTTCTTCTCCTTTGTTAGGTTTGCCATTTCTTTTATTTTTAAAAATTGTGATTTTAGTAGAAGTTTACAGGAAAAATGGGTTTTCATTCATTCTTTGATACACATTTTGCTCCCTCCTCCTTCCCCAATTCATTTTGTAATGCATGTCTTGTTCCAGATTGTTAATTGTCATACATATAATGTATAATAATCCAGTATTTTCAGATTATCTTTCCCATCACCTAAATCAGTGCAGTATTTGTTATCTATCCATTCTTTCCCCTCTCTTTCCCCTACTGATTTCATCCTATTTTATAGTAGTGATCATACATAACATTTGTCCTTTTGTGACTGAGATATTTCACTCAGCATTATGTCTTCCAGAATCATCATGTTATGTAATGTTTTACAAATTTATTGGTTTTTTAAATGTTGCATAATACTCCATTGTATAGATGTAGTACCCAGTTTTTCCTGTTTCAGCTTTCTGCAGGTGGATGTCCAGTTTTGCCAGCACCATTTGTTGAAGAAGTTATCATTTCCTCATTTGGTAGGTTTTGTTTCCTTGTCGAATACCAGTTGACCATAGGTAGATAGGTTAATTTCTGGTTTCTCGGTTCTGTTCCATTGGTCTATATGTTTGAAATTGTATCATGTAACCAGTATCATGTCGTTTTGGTATTAAGGCTGTAAATCTACTGGTTTTGAGATCATTTTTATTTTTCAGAAGTGCTTTGTTTTTTCAGGGTCTATTTCCTTTCAAAATAAACTTCTAATTGTTTTTTCATTCACTTTGAAAAATGAATTCAGAATCTGTACACAAGTAGATTGCTTTTGCTAGTATTGTCATTTACACGCAATTGGGCCTTTCCTGTCCATAAACAGGATATTTTCCCATTTAGGTGGGCTTCTTATTGTTTTGGGCAGTAGTGTTTTGTAGTTTTCTTTATAAAGGTTTTTATTGTCTCTTGTTCTTATTAGAAGCCATTGAGTCAAGTTCAACCCATAGCAACCCTCTGAACAACAGATCTGAGCCATATCCTAACCTGTGCCATCCTCACACCCCCTGAAACACTAGAGTCTATTGAAGCAGTCACCATTTCAATTCACCTGTTCAAGGGTCTTCCTCTTCATTGCTGACCCTTCAATCTTCTGAGCATCATGTCTCTCTCCAAGGAATGTTGCTCCTGGCAACATCCTGACTATATGAGGCAAAGCCCCATGATCTTTGCCTCCAAAGAGCACTCTGGGTGCACCCTCTCCAAGATATATTTGTTTGTTCTGTTGGTTTGTCTATGGGATGTTCAGTGCTCTTTTCCAAAAATACAGCTCAAAGGCATCAATTATTTTTCTGTCATCCTTATTCACTGTCCAGTTCTCAAATGCATAGCAAATGATGGGAAAGACCATTGCCTGAATCAGATGCACCTTAATCTTCAAACATCATTACTCCTCAATAATTTGGAGAGGATGTGGTAAAAAGGGAACTCTTACACATTTTTGGTGGGATTGTAAAATGGTACAAACACTCTGAAGACAGTTTGGCATTTCCTAAAAAAAGCTGAACATAGAGAGTCCATATGACCCAGCTATTCCACTGCTTAGAATATACCGAGTAAATGAGAACTGAGGCACAAACAGAGACCTGTACACCAATGTTCATAGAAGCATTATTCATCATCACAAGAACATGGAAACAGCCCAAATGCCCAACCACAATGGAACAGACTGAGAAATTATGGTACATTCACACAATGCGATACCATGAAGCATGCTTGAGCAATGATTTTGTAAATTACCACCTAACTTGAGAGGGACTGGAAAGCATTATGCTAAGTGAACTGACACAGTCTCATAAGGACAAATACCGTATAAGACCATTATTGTATAATGAGTACAAGGATCCAAAGAAGGGAAGAGGGAGCAGAAATGTGAGGATGGGTGAGGGTGGTCCTTAATCATAGGCTTACACAATTTGATGGATGGAGGGAGCGCTGGATAAAGGAAAGGGGAAAGATCTGGTGTGAAAAACAATGTACATGAACTTTGTAAGTAAACCAGTGTAAATTTTAAAGAATATATGTCTTGGAAAAAGAAAACAATAATTTGGAGAGGTCCCTAACTGCAGACCTTCCCAATATAATACGTCTCCTGATTTCCTGACTGCTAGTACCAAAGGTGTTAATTATAGATCCAAATAAGAAAGTTGTTGAGATTTTCAATCTTTTCTCTGTGTATTATGATGTTACCTATCAGTCCATTGGTAAGAATCTTTGTCTTCTTGACATTGAGATGCAGTCCACTCCCCTCTCCCAGCCCCGCTTTGTGTACCATAGACTCAGATCTGACTGGCACAGGAGGAGATTGCCCCTCCTTCTCCAGCGAAGGATCCAGTGGATTCAAACCGCATGCCTTCAGGATTACAGTGCAGCTTGCCACTAAAGACACTAGAGCTCCCTTGAGATGCTCTCCATATTGAAGGCTGTATTAATTGATCCTCTGCAACAAGTGCTTCAAATCCTCCTCACTTTCAGCAACCAAGTTTGTGTCATCTGTATAGCACAGGTTACTGAAGAGTTTCTCTCCAATTCTGATGTCATATTCCTCTTCATAGAGTCCAGTTTCTCAAATAGTTTAGTGGTTAGAAGTTGCAGTACAATCCCGAAGGTGTGAGATCACCAGCTGCCCTGCAGGAGAAGAAGGATGGGCAATCTCCTTCCACGTGATTAGCTGCCTCTGCAAACCCAC